GGTTGGCTGTCCGGCAACCGGCGGGGTGTGCTGGAGGAGGCAGCGGCCGAGGGCGGCCCCGCCCACAGTGAAGCCAGCAGTGCTGTCATTGACCTGGCTGGCGACACCGTGCGCTACACGCCTGCCGGCCCCTCCAGCCCTGACTTCACCACTTGGCCCTGTGCCAAGTGCACCCTGCGGAACCCCACCACGGCCCCCCGGTGCACCGCATGCGGCTGCTCCAAGCTGCACGGCTTCCCAGAGCACAGCGAGCCCCCTGCCTGCTGCCCCGACTGTGGCGTAGACAGGCCTGGCCCCTGCGCGTGTGGGCGGCCCCTCTCGGCCCACAAGGCTACCCGCCTCTTGCCCGAGCGTCTGGGCCAGTGGGCCTGCCCCGCCTGCACCCTGCTCAATGCGCCCCGGGACACGCACTGCGCCGCCTGCCACACGCCCCAGGTTCTGGTGGCCCAGCGCCATGGCACCACGCCCCTGCGGCGCAGGGAGAGCATGCACGTGGAGAAGCGGAGGCAGACAGACGAGGGCGAGGCCAAGGCCCTCTGGGAGAACATCGTGACCTTCTGCCGGGAGGTGCGTCTCCCCTCAGCCCTTGGCCCTGTGCACACCCCTTCCCTGATGGCCTCCCTCAGCACCTGCCTACCTCTCCAGGCTGTGCCAGCCAGGAACACGCTCACCCCTGCAGCATGGTCCCTGCTATGGGGCAGGGACAGCAGGCCCAGGGCACCACCGGGTCCCAGAGCTCCCATGTAGACCCGCAGAAAGCGGAGCCACCCCCACGCCTACTGCCCTTTGAACCTTGGGACGTCACCTAGGGTGATGCCACCCTGGTCGTATGAAGGAGCAGCCAGTGTCCTCTCCGGCCAGGGTCTGTTGCTGCAGCGGCCTCTCTGCAAGGCAGAGCCACCCCTCACCCGCCACCACCTGGCCTCTGCTGGGGGCAGAGCCATCTCCCCAGCACCTCCTACTGCTCCCAGCCGACTGTCTTGGCCAGGGTCCTCACGTCACTCCAGGCCTTCCGGGGCTCAGGCGGCTTTCAGGCACCCTCCTGTGGGGGGTCTCGCCTCTGCCAGGCGGAGCAGGGCTCAGCAGCCCTGAGGCCACCTGGGTGTCTGTGTGGTCCCCGCAGAACGGCGTGAACTTCGTGGATGACAGCTTCCCCCCGGGGCCCGAGTCTGTGGGCTTCCCTGCGGGTGACAGCGTCCAGCAACGTGTGAGGCAGTGGCTGCGGCCTTACGAGATCAGCTGCTCCGGCCTCAGGGACCAGGGGCTCTCCTGGTCGGTCTTCCACACCCTGCGACCCTCAGATATCCTGCAGGGGCTGCTGGGGAACTGCTGGTGAGGCCGGCGACCAGGTGGGTGGCAGGGCCAGTGGCAGCGGCCACGGTCCCCATGTGGCCATCCCTGTGTGCAGGTTCCTGAGTGCGCTGGCAGTCCTGGCCGAGCGGCCCGACCTGGTGGAGAGGGTGATGGTCACACGCAGCCTGTGTGCGGAGGGCGCCTACCAGGTGCGCCTGTGCAAGGACGGCACGTGGACGACCGTCCTGGTGGACGACATGCTGCCCTGTGATGAGGCCGGCTTCCTGCTCTTCTCGCAGGTGGGCGGGC